ATTGAACTGTTTCCTGGGTAGTTCAGTCACACCATTTTATTTGCATCGTTCGCTTATCACAGGCAATACACTGTTATAAACCTTAATCAGGTAGCATTAGACACGTCGTGCAAACGTTACACATCGGAAACACAGCAGAGAACCACACTGGGTTATGCTTACTGAGAACTTTGCATAATTCGAAGAGCAAAGGATCAAGCAGATCGGAAGGCCTGAAAATTCGTAACGACGATGGTTCATCGATTCACGGAGGTACTAAGAATTTTACATACCTGTGCAGAGGAATTTAAAAAGCAAATGTCACTAGACCACAAGAAGAGAACTGCCTGCACTATTTAATGAGGGCATTATTTACAATATTAATTCAAGCAGCTATTGAACTCTACAAACAGCCAGTCTCAGAGGGAGCAGTCAATTAACCGACCGCTGAGACATGTTAATTGTGTGCACTATTCGACTTTTTCTCTCGAGAAAGCAATTTTCTTTATCTTAAATCCAACCAACAATGGAATTCGTTTAAACCATTGCCCCAAAAGCACCGAAACATTTTTGGCAAAACCAACTTTACAACGGTCCAAAAGTAAAGTTTTTACCTTCCGAACTTGGATTTGCCGTTATCACATTTGTTAGTTCTGGAATCCCTTTGCATGTTAAGAGGTATAGATCTGTAAGAAGTGTCTAAACGGAAACAGAACAAATTTATTTAATAGACCAATAAAGTACTACATCGGAACGTACATTCTTTACCAGCACGACAATACAGGTTCATAAAGGACGTTTCCAGAACAAGTTAATATGATTTGCCGCTGGATTTCATCAACGACAGCGAAGTTTCTCTTCCAGAAGTTAAATTTCACAACTACCTTCATGAAGACAAAGGATTAGGAATGATATGAAGAATCTTCAGAAGATCTTAGCTCGCACTGACACATGTGAAGTTATTCATCGATGTCGAAATTCTCCATTTATTGGCTGCAGCGAGTGCACACTGGGACGTTCTGGATTCATCAGATTCTTCTCGCAAATCACAAGTGCTCCATTTACAACTGAATTGGCCAGCTATATTATCAAGTTATGAAAATCTAGGCAACTGACAGGCATGTCTTTGAGCAAATACGGCAGGCGATCATAAAGACGAATTTTGAGGCTAGAAAACTATTTTAGGGCTGTATATAGGAGTAGTAATAAAACGGTGGCTTGCACAAGTGATCTGAACTGTGCTGATAATAACTACTAATAAAATCGTTGACTGATGGAACAGTTCAACACTCATTCCAAAGCATTCAATCTTCGAAAGGCAAACAGTGTTTATGTATATCTGTCAAATAATGCTGAAACTTGCATATTTCATAACATGCCACTATCCAGCATTATGCGAGAAATTAAAGTTTCGTGATCGCCATAAAACTTAGATACAAGCATTAATTTGTGAAATAGCTGTCTGACTCAGCGGGGAAGGCTTGCGCAAATGAAATGAAAGAGGAAACCTTCAGATTCTGCGGCCCTGGTTTAAGTCCGACCTCAGCGCACTAACGAATCAACACCCCGACAACTGTGGTAAAACAGCTATTCCCAAAAAACATAGTATCACCCGCACATCTGATGGAAATGGCACCGGTTGCCACTAGGTCTTCGAGCCGTATACAAAGTGAATAAAATGGGCGTCAAAACTGAGTTTTATGTGCTACGCCGAGTTCACACGGTTTCTACCTGAATTCACAGTATCAAAGATTCACAATCTGACGCAGATGGTCGAACACATTGCACGGAAGAGGGCAACGCAGGCGCTGCTAATTTTATATAGAGATACGGCAGACCATTATGTGGTACCGTATTATATGCGGAGTTGAAGAGAAGAAAGGCTGTAATTAAGTAAGTGCAACTACCCCTGATGCCCTCTGCCACATAACTCATGAGCGCGGCTGTAGCATTAGTTGTACATCGATTCTTCCTGAATGCAAATTGACAGTGTCGAAGTATTTTTCAATTTGTTGCTGAATTCGTGGAAACAGGAGCTGCTACATGCATCTGAAGACACGGCGATAAGCCTTGTCATATAATTTCTTTGGGGTACTGGACTGGCTTCGGTATCAGATAAATTGTTTCCGGGCATTCGGAACCACACTTTCGTTGAGACAACGACCGCAGACCGCAGTGACTGGAATGGATAAAATAACATAACTTTGGAAGTCATCTAGACCGTCTGCAGTGCAGGGTTTTAGTCTTGCAAAGCAGGCCAGCTTCTCTTCACGTGAAAAGGTAATATCCGTAAATTGGAGCAGCTGGAATCACGAACCGTTGCATTTTACCCTCGCTTCTAAACCGCAGTAAGAAATCACTTAAGTCGCCCAAACTGATGGATGGCTGAAGATGTAGTACTGAATGCATAGTCGGGATGCCAATTTCTCGCCACATTTCTTGACAAGTCCTCGTGCCTGCAATGGACGTTGCGAACAGTTTTGTTTCACTGGAATCTCACAAGTCGCTTTCTTCCGTAACCTTCAGCAGTTAATCATATTTCCTTGTTTAAGAACCAACTTAACCACTGCAATAATATTATTATTCGGAGCTTTCTTTGTTGGTATATTGCTTCAAACCAAACTGTGTATAATCCGTTATGTACTTCATATAGTGACCAAGGTCTTGGAAGGGAAAAAAACCTTCCAGTCGGGCCGTTTACGATATTTGCACTTCTGTCTGTCAGTATTTTCTGAGTGCGTTGTCACTGAACTATGATCTGTCGACTGCACTGGACAGCGCGGCGCAGATATGTTTGGCGTAGGTTCATGGCAAGACGCGCACTGTACAGAAGTCCGACGTGCTAACTGACACTGAGCGCCTAATATAAGAGCAGTCGGTGTTGTTTACCTGCACACAGGCCAATCTAAAGTCTAGCCGCATATAAATGCTAACACTATTTCTGAGGCCTAAATCTTTGTGAATTCCGCTGTCATGTTAATTGATAACGCTCATAAGGCTAAGGAAATAATCATTCGGAACAAGTCAGAGCCTCATTACCAAATCTTTTAGTAATAAGGCCAATCAATAATTAAGACAGTCAGGAGATGCGTACTCATTTCCAGTC